TTGGGCCAAAATAAAATATGTTCTGATATCCAATATCATAATCCGGATGAATCTCATAGAGATAAATCCAATATGTTGACTTACTGTGTGACCTTGATTAAGAACCTGAGTACAGATCCAAATCAAGAATAAATGAAGAATTTGTTTGTGATATAAACTTTGAAATGATTTATTGAAATATAAAGATTTAAATTTGTAATAATAATAATCTAAAGATTTAACTTTGAAATGATTTATTCGGAAAAAGTATTACAAATAAATATGAAAATTATATCGTTGGATATAGTTTAATTATACGATCGCAACGGTGCAAATGGAATTCAATTCGGAGAAAGTTGGACCAAAGAGTGTTCCCCGACTGGGACCAAATTAGTCCCAATCAGGGACTTGCGTTTGAAATGGAAAGAAATCGCCGTCCGCTCCACTAGCCGCTCAAACAGAGAAGTGACGCAGGAACCATTGGCCTCTTCTCCATTCTTCTTCTATATAATGGAAACCAAAACTTCACCCTTTCTTCACCATTCTTCATCAAATTCGTTCTGGGAGATAGCCTTGAGTGTGGAGAACGCAGTGGTGCTGTCAATTTGGTGTAAGGTCGCCGGAGTTGAGAGCTATCGTCGCCAGAAGTTTCACCGGAAAATTCTCAAAACCTCCATTAAGCTTCTAGTAACTAGAATGTTCGTATATATCGTTTCTACGTTCATAAACGGTCGTTTGGTTGAGTTTTGTGCTTGACATGTTTGAAGAACCAAGAATCATAAACCATGAAATTGTTGTTAAATTTCATGGTTTATGATCTGTGAACATTGGAGAACATTTTTATATAATTAAATTGAAGTTTGGTGATTAAAAATGATAATGTTAAAACTGACCCGAGGAAGAAGATGATGAACAGTGGCCGAAAATCGATTATTTACTTACTAAAAATCGATTAGAATTTTATTCAGATCAGTGGTTCAAAGTCAGTACCTCTTAATCAATTATTTATATTGTAAAAATCGATTATTATGAATTAATTGATTATTTATATTGTAAAAATCGATTATTATGAATTAATTGATTATTTAAATTGTAAAAATCGATTATTATGAATTAATTGATTATTTAAATTGTAAAAATCGATTATTATGAATTAATGGATTATTTAAATTGTAAAAATCGATTTTTTATGAATTAATCGATTATTTATATTGTAAAGATCGATTATAATGAATTAATTGATTATTTAAATTGTAAAAATCAATTATAATGAATTAATTGATTATTTAAATTGTAAAAATCAATTATTATGAATTAATGGATTATTTAAAATTATATAAATCAGTTTTTATAAATTAAATGATTATTTTAAATTATTTTCCTAATTCCAGATCCTGCTACGAAAATGTTCCTGAAAATATGCTCTAAAATCCTATTTTTGATAACAATTAATTATGAACAATACAAATATGATTTTTTATAACAAAAATGATGTTTTAGGCATATAAATCATTATGTGATGCCTGACGGTAAGTTAGAGTGTTAACACTCAAAACTAGACCGCTATTTGTTATCAAATGTTATGTTGATTGATGATTATGATGAATGATTATTATGATGATTATGACTTGATGAAACTACTGATTAAATTGATTATTGAAGATTAAATTATGAATTGAAATGAATATGTTGATGATTATGAAATTATTTGATTTGTAAGGATATCTAGAAGAACTCTAAGATATACCGTTTGGGGATACCACCCAACCCGACAGTGAGCATTCCGCTGTTCAGTTTCTGGATGACCTTAAGCGAAGGTAAGTTTAAGATTTTGAAAACCTCTTTTTTAAAATTTGTATCTTAAACTAGGCCTAGCTTAAGGGTTAGTTAAAAGTACCTTAAACTCGAATATAGTTTAAATATCTTAAACTAGAATTCGTTTAAGAGTTGGTAAACATCAAATAGATTGGCCTTACTCTAAGAATAGTTTAAGGATATTGTTGAATGAGGATGTTGAATGTTGAATATGAATATTGAATGACGAATGTTGAATATTGATTATTGTAGATTTGAACTGATCACATTGTGCATGATATCAAATGACTTGATTATGAATTTGGATTCGATTTATATGGATGTTCGATGCATTAGATATGCTTACTCAGCTTTACCGTTGAGCGTGTAGTATGTTTTAATTGCTACACGCAGGTTAATAGAAAGAATGATGTGACGTGATTCTGGAAGCAGACGGAGGCTAGATTGTCGGAATGGATGTGATGGTTTTGAATTAAAGAACATAAACAAATTATGTTTGTAATTATGATTTGTTAAGCTTCCGCAATAGTTGAGAGCTATCGTCGCCGGAAGTTTCGCCGGAAACTATTCAAAACCTTCATTTACCTTCGAGGTAAGCCCGTAGATATATCTAATGACTAGAATGTTCATATAGGTCGTTTCTACGTTCATAAATCGTCATTTGGTTGAGTTTTGTGTTTGACATGCTTGAAGAACTAAGAATCACAAACCATGATTTTGATGTTAAAACTATGAATTAATGATGCCAAAATGATCTATGAACCTTGGAGAACATTTTTATATACTTTAATTGAAGTTTGGTAAGTAAAAGTGACATTTCTGCAGGTTGGCTCGAGGTAGAAGACGATGGATAATCAATTATCAACTTGAAAATCGATTATTCATCGTTCTACAGATTTTTGGAACAAAGCTGAGCAACAGTCGACTGTCAGAATGTGACAATCGACTGTCAGCCCTCTCTGAAGTTTGATAATCAATTATCAGAGTGTGATAATCGATTATCAGCCCATTCTGAACATTAGACAGTAGATTATCAGAAGTGACAGTAGACTGTCTCCCTACACTATTGAAGAAAATGAAGCTAATAGTTAATAATTGATTTTCCTATCATATATTAATCAATTATTGTTTAGAAAACATGATTTTTGAACTATGAAATCCTATTTTTGATACAGATTAATTATGCACAATATAAATATGATTTTGTATAATAAAAATGATGTTTTTGGTATATAAAATACTATGTGATGCATGACGGTAAGTTCGGGTGTTAACACTCGAGACTAGGCCACTGTTTGTTATCAAATGTTATGTTGATTGATGATGAATGATTATTATGATGATTATGACTTGATGAAACTACTGATTAAAATGATTATTGAAGATTAAATTATAAATTGAAATGAATATGTTGATGATTATGAAATGATTTGAATTGTATGGATATCTAGAAGAACTCTAAGATATGCCTAGATTGACGTTGGTTTTTAATACTATCTAGAAGACCTCTAAGATGGCTTATAAATAGACCTTGCGGGTTTAATTATGAATATTCGGTGGCCTGGGTTAAAACGTACGTACGGGATCTACAAACCAAACTAGAGGAACTCGTTTGAGGATACCACTCAACCCGACAGTGAGCATTCTGCTGGTCGGTTTCTGGATGACCTTAAGCGAAGGTAAGTTTAAGATTTTGAAAACCTCTTTTTGAAAATTTGTATCTTAAACTAGGCCTAGCTTAAGGGTTAGTTAAGAGTACCTTAAACTCGAATATAGTTTAAATATCTTAAACTAGAATTCGTTTAAGAGTTGGTAAACATCAAATAGATTGGAATTAAACTAAGAATAGTTTAAGGATATTATTGAATGAGGATGTTGAATGTTGAATATGAATATTGAATGACGAATGTTCAATATTGATTATTGTATATTTGAACTCAATACTTTGTGCATGATATCAAATGATTTGATTATGAATTTGGGTTCAATTTATGTGGATGTTCGACGCATTAGATATGCTTACTCAGCTTCACCGCTGAGCGTGTAGTGTGTTTTATTTGCTACACGCAGGTTAATAGAAAGAATGATGTGACGTGATTCTGGAGGCAGACGGAGGCGAGATTGTCGGAATGGATGTGATGGTTTTGAATTAAATAACATAAACAAATTATGTTTGTAATTATGATTTGTTAAGCTTCCGCAATACTGAAAACTCCGCATTGTATATGTTACGAAAAATATTATCGTGATAAATAAAAGTGTTTGAAAAGTTTTAAATTTTACGATTACTAAGTTAATTAGCCAAACCGAAAGGGGCTGCAGACTTGGACGGATTAGGGTGTTACATGGTATCTTCATTAGCCAAACCAAGTATGCCAAAGAATTGGTCAAGAAGTTCAACCTTGAAGACTCAAAAACATATTCGACTCCAATGAGCACATCTTTGAAGCTTGACAACGACGAAAGCGGAAAACCCGTAAATGAAAAGGTATATCGAGGTATGATTGGTAGTTTGCTCTATTTAACTGCATCTAGACCCGATATAATGTTTTCCGTTTGCCTTTGTGCTCGTTTTCAATCATCACCTAAAGAATCACATCTAAATGCCGTCAAGCGAATAATTCGTTATGTCAAGGGAACGACTAATATGGGTTTATGGTATCCTAAGAATACGAATTTAAGCTTGATAGGTTTTAGTGATGCCGATTTTGGAGGGTGTCGTATCGATCGGAAAAGCACAAGTGGCACATGTCAATTCATAGGTCATGCACTAGTGTCTTGGTCATCTAAGAAACAACACTCCGTCGCCCTATCCACCGCTGAAGCGGAATATGTGGCTATGGATAGTTGTGTTGCTCAAATTTTATGAATGATGCAAACACTAGGTGACTTTAACTTAAAATTTTCAAAAGTGCCTATTTTTTGTGACAATTCAAGTGCAATAAATATTTCCAAAAATCCCGTTTTGCATTCTAGAACTAAACATATAGAAATAAGACATCATTTCATACGTGATCATGTTTCAAAGGGAGATATTCAAATTGAATATGTAAATACACTTGAACAACGTGCCGACATTTTTACAAAACCATTGGATGAAAAACAATTTTTACATATTTGTCGGGAAATGGGAATGCTTGAATTAAAGTAAAATTTAAGGTTCTTATTATCCCATTACATCATAAAAATATATTGATCAAGTCCAAATGCTCAAAACACGCGTCTAGAGGTCAAAACAAACCCTTAAGGCTGAGGCACGGTACCCCTGACGGGACCTAGTACCGCCCCCACGGTAGAGCCTACCGTTACTACGGTACCAGGATGCCGTTTGGACGCAGATACCGCCAGAGGGAATTGGGTTTTCGACGTTACACGGTAGCTGGACACGGTAAGGCATATCGTATACACGGTACCAAGGTACCGTTCACACGGTACCGAGGTACCGACCGTCTCTGCGGGTCAACGTACATTAAAAACCCTAAATCGAACCAATTTTCTCAGTTTCGCTCTGCAACTTCCGGCGATTCCTCTCGGCATCTCTCTCCCGTGTTTCGAACCAAGGTAAATTCCTCATCCAAATTCCTCAATTTCTTCAAACATTAGGTTCAATTTCTTCACATACTCTCTTCAATTCGGGTATTTTGTATTAATTTCTCACTTTTTCTCCCAAAATCCTTCCATTCTCAATTTTCTCTCAAAATGAGCGAAATTGTCTCCGACGTTCATGTCGATGCTCAAGAAGGGTTCAAGGCTTACGCCGACCCACATATCATCGAGGGGAGAACTCTTAAACAAGATGACATACCCGTTGACGTTCTTGAACTCGTTCATGAACATTGAGTTTCTTTCTTCAACTCTACGCCCCCGTTTACCCGGAACTTGTTCATCAATTTTATTCCTCATTAAGATACCATAAGCAAGACCCTTCCATTGCTGCTGTTGTTGCCGGAAAAACCTTCGGATTCAACACCCAAAACCTTTCCGAGTGGTTCCACCTAGAGCGTCAAGGAGTCTCCTCTTATTGTAAAAAGGGGTGGATTTCTGACTCACAAGACTTCAACGCGGATTTTTGCCTACGTGTTCTCAACAATATTGCTCTTGACCATGTCTTTGAGGACCCGGACTATTTCCTTCGTCAGCCCAACGTCCAAGACTTGACTGTAAATCATTTCATTCTTCTCAAAATCCTCAAGGAAAATGTCATCCCCGTCCTTAACAAAGATAAACAAGTTGGGATTTATGAGTGTACTCTTCTTTACCTCCTCCTCACTCACAAGAAACTCAATCTCCCATCCATCATCATCCAACACATGTACGAGAGCTCGGGTCGCCAAAACAAACCCTATGGCATGCTTCTTACCCACATCTTTGCCAAGAGGGAAATTCTTGAAGTGCGCCCGTCCCGCGTCCGCTATCTTGATGCGGAGTGCCTTGGGTATTGTGGCCTCGTAAAGATCGGAGAGGAATACTACATGAAGAAGGAATTCCAAAAGCTTGATGCGGCGACATGAGCGGAGTATGGCCCTCGACGATCTATGTCATCCTTGCCTTCCACTTCTCAAGCACCCGAAGCCGAAGCCGAAGACAATACCAACACGGAGATCCCCGTTCGTGCTCCCCGGGTCAAACGCTCAAAGTTGGCGTCTCATGCTTCCTCAGCCTCTCTCTTGCATCTTCACTCCCAAATGGCCTCCACTTCTAAAAATCCTTTCAAGAAGTTCAAGAAATTCATCCTCAAGACCATGGTGGCTCCGATTAGGAAACTTGAGGAAAGCCTCGATGACCTCTCGGATCGGATGAAGAAGATGGAGGACCGTGAGAATCGCCAAAAGCAAAATGAGGATCATGCTTCTAGACGTCGTCGCTAAGTGTTGGGCATTTGACAAAATGATCAAACATTCTCTTATTTATGTTTTCAAAACAATTATTTTGTTTTATGTTTCAAAACTCCTTATCATGTCTTATGTTTAAAACTCGTATTTATGCACTTTTATGATTGAAAATCCCTTTGTTTTGATTGCTTATGGTTTGATGATGTTTGTGGTTCACTTGAATGCCTATGTGTTGAAACTCATGTTTTTGGTACCCCGCCTTTTTGAATGTTGCCAAAAGGGGGAGAAATATTAGGCTTTCATATGCATACATTTAGGGGGAGTTTTTGTCAAATTATCACATGCATCAACTTAGGGGGAGTTTTTAAAATCAATATATGCTTTTCATGATATACTTGTGCGTTTGATTATTATATTCGAAAGCCTTATTTGTCAACATCAAAAAGGGGGAGATTGTTGGCCTTGAATGCCGTACCCCGTAACCATTTTGATGTGCCAAATAAGTCTTCCAATGCTACTAACATCATTTGTAGGATTAAACCAAACGCCAAACCTCTATTAGCTTGTTTAGCATAACCGAGATGTACTCCTACGAGCTTAGAAATATTTGTGTAAAGGTAACGATATATTATAATGACTTACTTATGCCCTTTCACTCAAAAAGTATTTCTAAACTATCAAATATATTCTTAGTTGGGGTTATTTTGAAAACGGAACACAAAAAAAAAACGAGTTTAGTAAAAATTGCACATGTCTAACGGTACCTAGCTACCGTGTACACGGCACCAGGGTACCGCCGGTAGCCAAGTGAACGTACCGTTGTACGTTTCACCTGGGTGGTACACGGTACCCCCCTACCGTGACAACGGTACCTGGGTACCGTCGGTAGGCTTGGGAAGGTTGGCCACACCGTTTGAACCTAGATACCGTCAGAGCCGAACCAATTCTATGGCTTACACGGTACCCCCTAACGGTAGGCTGTACCGTTGTCACAGTACCTAGGTACCGGACGGTACGGACCCCTACCGTGAAGGGTACCGGATCCGTTACAGCACTGTAGCAAATTGCCAATTTAAATTCAAATCACCCCTAATCACTTCCTAACGGCATTTAAGGTTAAAAATTCATATTTTAACATTCCAAACTCCTATATAAACCCCCTCTAAGTCTCATTTTAATCACAAAAACTTCTCAATTAAATCTAAAGCCTCTTTCTCTAATTCTTGAGTGTTCTTAAAGCTTTGTTCTTATTTTTCTTACTCTTTTGAGTAAAAAAGCTTTCATCTTTTTATACACTCACACACAAGGGCATTTGTGCTTCATTATTTTATATCTTGCCTATAGGCTTTTGTTGTTGTTGATTTAATCTTTTGTTCTTCTCCTACCCAATTCATATTTGTTACTATTTTGGTAGAGAAGCAACACCAATCTTTTATTGATTTGTAAAAGGTGTGGATAGCCTTTAAATTCTCATTGTAAGGTTGAAGATAGCCTTAAAATCTTCGGTTGTAAACGGTTGAGATAGCCGTAGTAAAATCTCGTTTGCTTATTGGCAACGGTTGTTTGCCAAACCTCGTTTAAGTCTTCTTAGTGAAGCCAAACAAGTTAGTGGAGGTTTAATCCTTGAGGAGGAGCCTCGAGGTACTGGAGTAGGGAGTTCCCGAACCAGTATAAAATCGCTTGTGTCGTATTTTTATATTTTATATTTTTCTTGCTCTTTCTCCGCTACTACTTTGCGCATAAGTTTTTGTTTTTATTAAAAAATTTGCAAACACCCTAATTCACCCCCCTCTTAGGGTGTATACTGACTTTCAGAGGAGTGACATAGTCAGAAAGAGTCCTCCTGTTCGGAACTTCATTTTGTCTTCTCTGAATTTCCTGCAAATTTTCAAGAACATTATTCCGTGGGACTTCCATTTTCTTTATTTTTCTTATTTCTTTCGAATGTTTTTCAATTTCTAGAAAGAAAAATTTTTCTTGAGTTTTCCCACGGGAACGAGTTAGCTTAAAAACAAAGGGATTGGAGAGTGTTAAAGAGAGGAGGGAGAAGGGAAAAAGGGAATAGAAGGAAAATAAAAGGGGAAAAAATAAAAGCAAAAGAGAAGGGAAAAGGGAGGAAGGAAAAAAAGAAAAAAAATGTAATGTGCAAAAATTAATAAAAAGGCTCTCACTTAAGTCAAGAGGTAAAAACCACCAAGACAAGTGATACTTTAGTTAGTAGTTAGCGGTTAGAGTGCCAAGCGGTAATAAACCAACAACGACACTAAAAAAATAAAAAGTGTTAGTAATAATATATAGATATATAATATATAATATAATATACAATATAAAAATATAATATATAATATATAATATGTAATGTATAATATATAATATATAATATATAATATATAATATATAATATATAATATATAATATATAATATATAATATATAATATATAATATATAATATGTAATGTATAATATATAATATATAATATATAATATATAATATATAATATATAATATATAATATATAATATATAATATATAATATATAATATATAATATATAATATATAGATATAATGTCCAATAGCGGCTTTTCATGCCTCGAAAGAAAACAAATGTGGAAATGTAAAGTGCAGTAATTAAATGTACAAACCCAGTGACGGCGTTGCCGATCTGTGGGCAAAATAAAGAAAAGAAAAAAATGTCCAATCATTGTTGGCGGAAAATCCGACCTGTGGGATAGTTCAATATGTCCAAGTATTTCCAATATGTCCAAGTTCAATAAGTGTCCAAGAGTAAGGAACTCAAAAGAACTTTTTTTTGGTTTTTTTTTGTTTTTTTTTTGGGTTTTTTTTGAGGTTATTTTTATTTTTTTTGGTTTTTTTTTTGTGTTTTTTTAGTTTTTTAGTTTGTTTTTTAGTACATGCAAGAAGATGTTAGGAAAACAAGATAATAACAAATATTTACAACAAATAAACAATAAAACTTATGTTTAAAATAAAAAAACTCAAACCGTCTCCCCGACAACTGCGCCAAGTTGATTTGCAGTATAGAACGGGCAAAAATAACAACTAAAAAGAAACCTTGTAAGTAGGATGTCGAACCTCAGGGAGACATGAATTAGTTTAATTTAAACAAAAGTTACAAAAGAAGTTGTAAAATATTTTTGGTCTTTTTGGTTTTAGATAAAAATAAAAAGTGTAAAAGGAGAGCGTTTCAAACAACACAAAGTTTTTGATGATAAAAAATTAAGGGTAGAAATTGGTAAATTAATTGTCCAATGTTTTTATAAAAGTTGGATTGTCAATTTATTTTTATATAGAATGTGTGGGGTTGCAGAAAAGTATTTAGTGACGCTCTCGCAGTTCACCTAAATAATAACTATCCGACTTTAACACGCTAATGATAAATCCGGAGTAATTATTTAGTAACAACGGCAACCATAATTATTTTATTGTATGTTTACACAATTTAATAGTATAAAAATACAACTCAATAATTATGTCCACTCGAAAGTCTTCAATCCCAGTTAAAGGTAGAGAAGGCTTACGGTGTATTTAAAAAGTGTTCTATTTTATGATTATATCAATTTTAGCATTATGTTTATGATTGGGCCCTTAATTAAAAACCACAAACATTCCAAATTTATTTATTTTTAAATACAACATCTAAATAAAATGAAATTAACAATCCATATTAAAAATATTCAAAACATTAAGATGGACAATTAATTACACCAACTTGTAACCCCAATGAAATTTAGAAGTTCATAGTTTGAAGCTTAAACAAATAAATATTTATTACAATAATAAAAATCTTACAAAAATGGAAGATGTGTTCTTGAGCTCCAAATATAATAGATGGTGTTGATGATGATGATGGAGTAATTTTATGTGTTTGGAGGAAGAAAGTGGTGAGATAAGAAGAATTTCGAAAATGGAGAGAATAGAGAAGTGGGGGTTCCAACCTCCTTGGAAGAAGAGAAGAAAGGTGTTTTTATAGATGAATTCGTATATACGGATTATATAAAAAAAGTGCACCAATTGTAAACATAGGTATAGTAGCGCACATGGAGACGTAGTTGCTTGTTGTGAAGTGAGACCCGTGTTCGAAACTTCCCCACTGTATGCTGTTTTATCATTTTTCTCTCTCAATTGATGGGCCTAATTGGGAAAGAACATAATTTCTCTCTCAAAAAACATATAAAACCAAGCGAGACCCATGTTCGAAACTTCCCCACAGTATGTTGTTTTGTCATTTTTCTCTCTCAATTGATGGGCCGAATTGGGAGAGAACATAATTCTTCTCAGTTAGAAATTCGCTGAATGATCTGTTGTGGTGTAATAGTAAGAGCTTCAATTCTACGCCACAAAGTCCAGAGCTAGATCCTCAGTGGCTTCTTTTTCTTTATATTTATTTTAATTCCTTCTTCTCTTCAAGTCTCTTCCATTTAATTTTGTCCCAAACTTCTATATTTATTTTCCGTTCTTGCTATTATTCTCAATGCGTCCAAATGATCTCAAAATACCTGCAAAACATATAAAAGCAAGCATAGGACCGCTCTACCAAAATAAAATGGAAAATTGAAATAAAATGTAAACATTAAATTCAATTGGGATTCAAAACTCCTTCAAAACATGCTTAAAAAGTGTATAAAATATGTGCATATCAAAGATGGATCTTAAGATTGTTCTCGATTGTGAGAAAAACCTCTACGTCCTTACCTTTGAGCCTCCTAAAGCTCCTAAAGCGAATGCTCCAAGAACCAGAGTCCTTCTACTCCCGAGCAGAAGGAACTCTTGATGAAGGTTCCATATGCCTCTGCGATTAGATCCATCATGTACGCCATGATATGTACTAGACCTGATGTCTCATTCGCTTTAAGCATGACCAGCAGATACTAGGGAAGTCCAGGAGA